GAGAAGTGGAGAGAGAAGGGCTCAGTTGCCGCAAACGGTCGCTGCTGGACGGCCTGCTCCCCCGCATGCCTCTTTCAGAGGAGATGGGGTCGCACTTGGGTGCTGGCAGCCAGTGGCACCTGGCGGGTCGGGCCAAAACCCCTGACCTTGGCGGGTGAAGGGGCTTCACACACAGGAATCACAAGCAAGAGGGGAACGGGCCCCTTCAGCACTTACAGGGGGCGCCTCACCTGGCGCGCCGCCGCCGCTGCCCGGGCTGGCGTTCCCCGGTCCGCTCGCACCTGCAGGGCAGGGCGCCGCACGGCGTGAAGTGGGCACACATTGCAGCGGCCGCTCATGCGGGCGGTGGGCGCAGCACTGACACCTGCTGTGCCAGAGGGGGCGCAAATCTGCGCAGGCGCAACCTTCCCCTGACAGTCGCCCCTCGCACATGCGGCAGGCGCGCAAACTCAGCGTACGCAGACGCGCGCCCAACTCCCCCGCACGCGTGCCCGGCCCTCGGGCCCGCGCCCGGGACATGCCCGGCGCGCGCGGCCCGGCGCGGCGCGGCGCGGCGCGCTTGAGGGCGGACGCACCCGTCGCGCCGCAGGCGCGTATGGCTGTGAGCTTGAGCCACATGAAGTCCTCGATGGTGGGCGCCAGCCCCGGGCTGCGGCGCGTCGCCGCGTCCAGGGCGCGCGCGTCTCCCGCCAGCAGCGCGTACACCAGGAGCATGTAGTCCGCGCGGATGGACGGCTGGTGACGCGGTGCGCGGTCGGTCATCATGGCGGTGACGCGGGTGACGTGGGTTACGGGGGTGGCCGGGGCAGGAGGGTATAGGATGCGGCAGCAGGTGGGGCCGCAGAGCGGTGTTTCGCGGGGGTATGCCAGTGCGGAAATACGCACGCCAGGTGGCGCGGCTGGGGGCCAGGGGCACGGTGGGCCTCAGGGCGCGCCGAGGGGTGCGCCGCGCTCGGTAGCGGTACAGGTGCGCGCCGCGGCTGCTGCGCACCTGCTTGGAGGGCTGCGCCTGCACCAGCCGCTCGCACTCGCGCAGGATCGCGGCGCCGTGCTGCGCGCGGAACCTGGCTCGCGTGGGGCGGGCGGCGGGGCGTTTGCGAGTTGAGGTGGGCGATGCAGGCAGCGAGAAAGCCGCACAGCTTGCCCCCTGAAGCTCCCAGGCACCAGGGGTCGAGGCTGACTGGCTGCCCGCGTTGAGGCGTCACATGGTGGTTGTCGGGAGCTTCTTGGGTGCCCCAAGGATGCTTCCCGGCCTACTCCCAAGTTGTCTGTCGCTATGTAACGCTCTGGGACTGGATGCTGCCCTTGCCCGGGTTATGCAATGCGTTGCAACTACGAGCCATGCGCCGGCCTGCCGCGCTGGCTCCCCAAGCAGCTGTTCTGCCTGGCAACGACAAAGAGGAGCGACCCAGGGGGGGCTCACCCGGCCGGGTCCGCCAGCCACGCGTCTAGCAGCGGCGCCAGGCTCCCGCCGCCGCCGCCGCCGAGCGGCCGCACCGCCGCCGCTGCATCGGTGGCCTTGGCGGCTGCTCTGAGCGCCAAGTCGTCGAGGCCGCAGCGCAGCGCGTAGTAAACCTGGGGTGCGCGGCGCGAGGTTCACGATGAAGGGGCACGAGCCAAAGATGAGGAGTACTTGGGCCCTGCCACCCAGCTCTGCGCCTGCTTCCATGTAGCCTTGGCTTCTGATCATCGTAGATTTTTGTGTCAGCTGCGCCCGCTTTATTGCAGCGACAAGAGCAGCCCTGCTGTGCATCATGCGCCTGCCCGTCCCACCTCATCTCACTGCTCTCCGGCGCCCGCCCACCTGCACCCACGCCGTGTCCTGGCCGCCGGCCTGCTGGAAGTCCAGGGGGCCGCGGTCCTTGAACTTCACAGACAAGTACGCCTGGTGATGTCAGAGGGGCGCCGGCGGCGCAGTGAGCCGTGGTGCGCGCCAGGGCGGCGCACGGCCAGAAATGAGGTCGGATGGCTGGCACAAAGTTCAAATATGATTTTTAGACATGCTGGGTGCGTTGATGGCCTGAAAGCGGTAGAGCAAGCTAGCGAACGCATGCGCACGAATCCACGGACGACAGACAAGAAACCCCCGTTCCCTCGGCAGGCGAGCCGCCGCGCCAGCCACAGCACCGCTCTCGCCTGCACGTCCCGCATCTGGTCGGGGTCGCCGCCGCGCTGCGCCACCGCGCGGTGCTTGCTGATGGTGTTGCGCACGTGGCGCGCGAACAGCTTCGACAGGTGCGCGCGGCCGCCCTGCGGGGGCATCGCAGCGTCGCGGATCGACCGCCGCCGAATGCACTCAACAGAAGCTACTGAAAACGGCGCCGGCGCTGCGCGAGCCGGGTCTCCCACGTGCGGGATTGGGGGCGGGCGCGGCGGGGTGGGGCCCAGCGCGAGCCTCTCCGGGCCGATGCTGCTGCACCACCCCTCAACCCCCTTGACCGACCCACCAATCCAGCCGCCCCGCCCGCGCACCTGCACGAGGGCGTCCACAAAGTCCCCACTGCCGCCGGGCCCGCTGGGAGACAGCCCCCGCTCCCTGGCACGAGCGCAGAGGATGGGAGGCAAGGAAAGCGGTGCATCATAATTGTGGGCCAGGACCAGGCGGGAGGGGCGCGGCGGAACACGCACATGGCTCTTGTGAAACCAACCAACAATAAACCAGGCGGTGCGTTGAGCTGTCGGGGATGATCCAGAAGCCGCGGCGGCGGCGCAGAGAGCTAGGCCAAGGTGCAGTTGTGGACAGCCGGGCTGGAGCCAGCCAGCAGCCCCCGGGGTCGCACCTGGCGGGCGCCAGGATGTCACCCAGGAGGGCCCACACGCTGCTCATCGCGGCGGCGGAGCCGGAGGCTGCGGGGTTCGCAGCGGCGGCG